GGGGGGGGGTCGCTGGGCTGGGCGGGCTTGTAATCTCTGCCTTCGACTAGAGTTAACCATTCACCAGAGTATATCCCTTTGTTAGATACCAGAGACATCACTGGGAAGTAAGGCGATCCATGTACTATAGGCCACTGTTATTAAAAGGAATGCAGCCTATCCATTCAATAACTGAGAATGTAGGAATCCATTCACTGGAGACATGTGACATAACTGAGAATGCAGCCTATCCATCCACTGGAGACGAATGACATCACTGAGAATGCAGCCTATCCATCCACTAGACACAAGCGACATCACTGAGAATGCAGCCTATCCATTCACTAGAGACCAGTAACATCACTGGGAATGCAGCCTATCCATCCACTGGAGACATATGACATCACTGATAATAAAGCCTATCCATCCACTAGACACAAGCAACATCACTGAGAATGCAGCCTACCCATTCACTAGAGACCAGTAACATCACTGGGAATGCAGCCTATCCATCCACTGGAGACATATGACATCACTGATAATAAAGCCTATCCATCCACTGGACACAAGTGACATCACTGAGAATGCAGCCTATCCATTCAATAAAGACCAGTGACATCACTGGGAATGCAGCCTATCCATCCACTGGAGACATATGACATCACTGAGAATACAGCCTATCCATTCAATAGAGACCAGTGACATCACTGGGAATGCAGCCTATCCATTCACTGAAGACAGGTGACATAACTGAGAATGCAGGCTATCTATTCATTAGTTACACAAGACATCAATGGGAATGAAGCCTATTATGGGTCAATAATATTATCAGGAATGCTGCCTATCCATTCATTACCGAGAATACAGCCTATATATCCATTAGAGATCAAAAACATTGCTGTAGTTTAATGTTGGATAAGAGCCTCCGAATTTTGCCATTTTTATGTTGTTTTTTTTTTTCATTTTGCCAGTGTAAATAAAAAGAATACAAGCTGTCCAAATTATTTTATTTTTTTAGTTTACCAAATATAATTTTCTTTATTATCAGAGGAATATAATGATACTTTTATAAAATGAAAACTGCCTATAGAAGTAGTTAAATGAAAAAGCAGGAATTTTGATTGAAAAATATATATGTCGCCTCAATTAGAAATCTGGAACATTTTTCTACAGTCTAATGGCAATTATGTCTGCTAAAGGGAAAAAAGTACCTTCTGTTAAAAAAAACAACAAGAAAAAGCACAAAGCTCTGTCACTTAAGTGCTGCTTTTTAGCAACATTTATAGTCTTTATTGTTATTAACATTTAATAAAAGATTCAGTGCAAGAAAATGGAAAAATGGATTTTATTTGTAAAACTGGATTTTTTTGTTGGTTTAATTTGCTTTTGTAGGGCATGTTAACCCTTTAACTTTCAAATACGTCAAGCATAGTGGAGACTGACGGCAATTTTTGGCAGCTGTTAGGTTAACATAATTTTCTTGGGATAATAACAGTGTTTACCACCCCCTCCTTTTTTTTTTTTACATAGGTTAAGTGTGATACAGTTACATCTCTTTCTAATATGATTTTGTGTTTTTATTTTTTAGATTAAAAAAAATAAGGGGAGTGTTATACCAAAAGGGGAGATAAAGATGACAAGCTCATCTCTCAACGGGGTGGGAAGATAGCAAAGACGTTCATATGAAAATAAAAATCTGGACTACACTGCGACGATGGCGTACACCCACTCACACATCATGGCATCAAGACGACATCCGCCTAGCAGAGTCATAATCGAACTGGATGAATACAGCTCAAACCCGACACAGGCATTCACATTCTACAATATCAACCAAGGACGATTCCAACCACCACATGTGCAAATGTAAGTACAAAAATAACTATTGGGTTCAGAAAATCTGTTATGGACCCATTTGTTTTTTTCTTCAGTTTTACTTTAGGCAAAGGAGCAGTCAAACATAACGAAAAATGCATTAAATGTATGCAAACCCACATGCTCAACATATACATACATACATACATACATACATACATACATACACAGGCACTTTCTAGCTACTTGCTTTGGATTGTGCCACTTTTTTGGACCAACCTTAAAAAAAGTTTGTAATGTTGTCAGTTTTAGAGAAAAGGCACAGATTTACCTAACGTTCATAAATGAAATGTAACTTAAACATGACTTAAGTTTGTCAAGGGTACTACTACAAATTTTCTTCATGAATAAAATGTAAAAAAAGATAATCATTTGTCTATTGAGTCAAGAAAGGATGTGAATATCAATCAATTTAAAAAAAACATAAACAAACATTACATTTTTGTGCTATGTTTCAAATTATTGCTAACACAAATTGTTTGAAAATAATTTAAATATTATTATTATTAAATATATTCATACCGTTTTTAATTAATATTTTATATATATTTAGATTTTTATGAACAAGTATAAAACAAAATAATAGGAGTTAGCGAGTAACTATGCAAATATCTGGTATCAATCAATTGTATTTTTTAAATTAAAAGACACATTTTTGTTTTGTTTTTTATGGTTGTATTTTGTGTGATATACTTTGTTGTTTTTGTGGATTACTGCATGTGCTGTGATGAACTGTTTAATGGAATGTGATTACATGCAAAAGGCCTGAATGCCATAATAACACTGTTATCTTAAAAATATATGATTAGTTGTAAGCTGATATTTCTTTTTTTAGAAAAAAAGAAATGTACAGAAACTGTTTTTTTTAAATTAGGAAATGAACCATATGGATTTTTTTTTAGAGAGGAATAAACTTGTGAATTGCTGTTTTTTTTTTTTAGAGAGAGATTATGAAAGAAAATCATACTTTATGTTTACCACATCTCCCTATTTTATATTCAGCGGTACAATTCTAATTTTTCCAAACCTGTGAGGTAGCAAAATCTGGATATGTAGAAATATTGTCTGACGAACTAAGAAATTATTTTTATGGTGGTTTTGAAAAATGTTTATTAGGTGCCATAAAAATGTCTGAATGCACCAGTGATAAATAAGAAGCAGAAGTTATGTTTGTCTTGTAAGATAAAAAGCTAGAAGATGGTGTACATAAAACCAAATGAAAATAGTACATTATATTAAAATGATCTACGCACACTGTATACTGTTCTTTCTTTTTAACTCTAAAGAGGGATACAGATATATCAGAAAGCCAAACATATACTGTCACTGTTAGCTCTTTTAAGTTTTCCTGTATTAGTAAAACCCAAGCAATAAAGTGTTTGTTGGCTGAGGTGTTTGGAAAAAGAAGGGGGAGCAAAAAATGAGCTGACATTTATTCCTTATTGCATATGAAAAAGGCATCACCTGGCTTTGGCCTATCAAGTATTTCTGAGTTATTTTCCAGGAATAACCCTAACACTTTTGTGTGAATTGTACCTCTTACATTAATGACACAATATTAACAGTGTCAGAGGAGAGTCCAACACTAGGAAGCAGTGCAAGAGATTACTGTAATTTTATCAGCGTTCAAATAAGTGTGTCTTGACTGCTGTACATCAAAAAAGTCTTTAAATCTATTGAACATTATACTGTACAAATATTATGACCCAAAAATTGATTTCGAGATCAACTTGAATTTGTTTTTGTTTTTTTTTCAAGTATACATAGAGATAACAAATGACTCCAAGAAAATAGAGACCTATAAATGACAAATATAACCAATGATCCAGAATGCAGGTGTAGTTCAACAGTCAACCCAAAAACAAATACATGTAAAAACGAATATGTAAATAATAATTGACCTCATGGGACAAATAGGTAGCAATGGATATCTGAACCATTGATAAATGATCCAGGAGCCACTCGAAACCCCCTCAATTTTCTACCTTATTAGACCGTAATATAAACAGAAGAAGAAAGATGAGAAAGAGGAAACAAATTGACAAAGAAATGAAAGGGAGAATATGTCAGAAATAAGGACAAAAAATAAAATAAAATTGTTCGCCTCAGAGATAGGCATCATATTCGGAGGAGTAACGGAAATCCGTCCAAGAAAACCAAGTTCCTCTGAGTTTGTCAGAGTGATTGTGGAGTTCAGTGGTAAGTTCTTCCATACACATCATATCATTTATTCTAGCAAACCATTGACCTTTCATGGGGGGGGAGGGGGGATTGTTTCCATAGGATCAGGATGCAGGCCCTGGCAGGACTCAGGAGGTGAATAAGCAGAGACCTCTTGTAACGCTTAATTGACAGATGATTACTATGAAAAAGAAACGCCAAGGGATCCCAGGGGAGGTTCACAGAGGTGAAATGTAAGCATACCTTACTCACTGTCTTCCAGAAATCCTGGAGTACCGGGCAATCCCCAAACATATGTAATAGAGTACCCCTATGGGCGTTACATCTCCAACATAGGGGCGACTGATTGGGATACAGGCAGCGCAACAGGTTTGGCATCTGCTGATGAATTTGTATCCTGCCTCTGGCATTGGATTTGTATTTAAATTTGTTTATGAATCATAAAGAAAGTATACAAATGTTTTTGAACAGATAACGAGAAAACTTATATCATTCACATTGCAAGATTGTCAGTGTATTTCTTTTTTTTTTCCATCCTTCCCCGAAATGCAGCTATTTTTGTAGTAAGTAGAATAAAAAGTCAACTGTGCTTACCTTAATTTAAGTATTATGCAACTTTCCAAATACTAGATCAGCATGGCTTTTACATCATGGTAGTTCCAAATGCTGCAATTAAAAATATATGTTCCTCTAAAGAGCAGGAGGTTTGGTACTTTGATTTCAGCACTGGAGCAACTTGAAGTAGGACATGGTATGAACTAATGTGGGGTAAGGCAAGTTGCCAATGTTGCCAGTGTCTCCGAAAAAGGCCAAGTGACCCCTGAATACTCATCTTACCATCACCCTTTCTCAGCTCCTTGCTCCTTTGTATTTGGCGCTGAAATTGGCTGTGTTGGCAGCCCATCATTCACTCAGTCATATAATATTACTTGGGCCTTGGGCCTAGTAACTGATTGCTAGGCCTGGACACTGCTACAGGAGACTTGGTTTAGAGGTTTAAAATGCTGAAATCTACCTCGCCCACCTCAAATGAATGAACATACCCTGCAAAATAACAGGTCTGGAAAATACAGAGATCAAGGAAGCCTAGGCAACTCCAGTAATTTGCACAACAGTCATCTGCACAGAATCAAAGCCTTTTTCAAAATAAAGGCCCTTTGCAAGCAATCTCTCATTAAATGGCATATATTACTCTTGGACCGGACTGTAACTTCAAGTCTAGCAGAAAAAAGACAAACTGCATTAACATCTAAATGATTCAGAGAAGGATTGGGAGAAAGTGCTGCTGTCAGATGAGACCAAAATTGAGCTATTTTGCATTAACTCGACCTGCTGTGTTTGGAGGAAGAAAAATGCTGACTATGACCATAAGAACACCATCCCTACAATCAAGCATGGAGGTGGAAACATTATGCTTTGGGGTTGTTTCTCTGCTAAAGGTACAGGCTGACTTTGCCGCATTGAGGGGCCAATGGACGGGGCCATGTATTGTAAAATCTTGGATGAGAACCTCCTTCCCTCAGCCAGAACACTGAAGATTGGTTGTGGACGGGTCTTTCAGCATGACAATGACCCAAAACATCCCGCCATGGCAACAAAGCAGTGGCTCAAGAAAAGGCACATTAAGGTCATGGAGTGGCCTAGCCAGTCTCCAGACCTTAATCCTATAGAAAATTTATGGAGGGAGTTGAAACTTTGAGTTGACAAGCGACAGCCAAGAAACCTTAAAGATTTTGAGAAGATCTGTAAAGAAGAGTGGACTAAAATCCCTCCTGAGATGTGTGCAAACCTGGTAACCACCTACAAGAAACGTCTTACCTCTGTGCTTGCCAACAAGGGTTTCTCCACCAAGTACTAAGTCATGTTTTGCTTGGGGATCAAATACTGATTTTACTCACTGAACTGCAATTCAATTTATAACATTTGTATCATGTGATTTTTTGGATTTTTGGATGATATTCCGTCTCTATCATTTAGAATACCCCTACGACAAAAATTATAGACCTTTTGTTTCTTTGTAAGTGGCAATCTTATCTCTTTTGAAAAGGCTTTCCACAAGATCTGTGTCTGTGAAAATGTGTGCCCACTTATCCAAGAGAGCATTTGTGAGGTCAGGTACTGATGTTGGATGAGAAATCCAGGCTCACAATCAGCATCCCCGTCCGTGCCAAAGGAGTTCATTAGGGTTGAGGTCAGGCTCTGTGCTCGCGTTCCCCCACACCACATTCATCATACCATGTCTTTATGGAGTCGGCTTTGGGCACAGGGACACACTCATGCTGGAACAAAAAAGGATCTTCCCTAATTTTTTGCCACAAGGTTGGAAGCTCATAATTGCCTAAAAATCTTTGTGAGCTGTAACATTACAGTACACTTCATTGGAAACACTCAATAATTTAATGGGGTGTCCATATACATTGGCCATATAGGGCAGGTGTTCACAAACATTTGGCCATATAGAACATGTAGATTGCTGCATTTTTATATATGTCCTTTGAAAAAAACAATTATCATTGATCTCTAATTAATATGATGTCTCATAAAGCTGAAGCTCAGAACATCTACATTTACTCATCCTGTATGATATACAATATTGTGACCTGGGGTTAAGTGGTGGGCGAAATGCTCCCTGGGGTAAACACCCTTTTTTGGCAGAGAGACCAGTCCAGTGGTTTCTTTCAAACAGTGGTGGGATTATTTCTCCTACTTATATTTTGAAAGACTTCAACTGTCTGTTCCCCGGGCTGAAGAGCAATAGGTGTGTATGTCACCTATTGTAATACACCTGTTGTAAAGGCAAACCTGGGGTG